GTGTAAGCAGGCACTTAGTCTGCTGAGCTATCTCACAGGCCCTGCTACAGCAATTTTAAACACATTTATTTTTAACATCAGTCTTTTACAAAAAAATCAATTTTAATACTTAATCTAGATTCTGAATAGATATAAATAGGCTTGAGCATAGCTCAGCCATGGAGCACTTGCCTGACATGTCAGTCCACAGCCAAACACACACCCTCGCACACGCATGCACACACAGATGGAAGACAGGATCCCTCTGTGAGCAGCAGGATCACACAACTTTCCAGCTGGCTGTGTCGGGAGTTGTGGAGCTCTGTGTCCCAGGGAGAGAGCCCCATTCCCCGCCAAGTTCCTGACTTCTGAGTGCCATCCTCACGTGCTTGAAGAAGCACTGTGAAAACATCTCTGGTCTGCAGGGCTGGCCAGAGTCGGGCACAGCAGTGACCGCCCACAGCGCCTGTCATCAAGGAGCTGAGCCTGAGCCCTGCTTTCCCAAAAGTAGGACGGTTGTGACAGGACTTCCCCCAGTCCTGCCCAGAAGGGCCCTACACAGGATAAAGCAGAGCCCCGAAACCTGGCTTCTCAGGAAGCAGGGTCTGGTGGGAGAGATAGCGACAGGGACAGGAGCGGGGCTTCGGGCCCCACAAAGGACAGTCACAACCCTCTGGTGGGAGACACCCTCCTGAGAGGCCAGGTGGCAGGCTGCCACCAGGAGAGGGCTCCGGGCGCACGGGGACCGAGCTCGGCTGGGCTCGCTCGCACCTGCCTCGCGCCAAGAACCTTCCTCTGCCCTCTTCCTGCTTGCTGGATGGCGACACTGGTGCTAGCAGACCGCCAGCGACGCGCAGGGCATGAGTCCGGACTGCTGCTCCCACCGCGCTGCGGTCGCGTGCGGAAACCAGGGCAAGCGCGTCCCCAGTGACCGCGGGGCGGGCTGAGCGGGGCAGGGGCGGCCCTTGCTGTCCGGCGAGGTCGGGAGGGCGGAGGGCTCTGCGGGAGGGAGCCGCCCGGGTGAGGGCCGCTGCGGGGGCCCGCGGTCTGCGCCGGCCTCCGCCCGGCCGGTCCCTCTCCCTGGCACAGGGCGGCTCCAGGGCTCTCCCCAGAGCAGAGGACGCTCCCGGCCGCGGGCAGCCCCTTCCAG